TTTGCTAGTCTATCCAACAACAGTCTTTTTTTAAGGATTTCTTTCTTTATTTTGGAGGGGGGAGGGGTAGAGGGGGAGAGAGAGAATCTCAAGCAGACTCCCCACTGAATGCAGAGCCCAATGCAAGGCTCGATCCATGACCCTGAGATCGTGACCTGAGCCAAAACCAAGAGTCTGCTGCTCAACCAATTGAGCCCCCCCTCCAGGCGCCCCGACCAACAGTTTTGATAGACCTTTTTTGTACTCTGAATTTCCTGTTTCAGGTTGTGAGCCTGTCTTCTAGGAGAATGTCCATGGCAGGACAGTGTGAAGATTTTTCAATATGGAAAAGGTTAACACTCACTTAGTAGCTCTGTACTTAAAGGTGCCTCCCATGTGCCTGGCATTGTGCTGGCATGAGTCAGCCCTAGACCTTGGCCTTCCTGTCGCTTGGGGAGAAACTGGGGTCATTGTTCTGACAGGAAAGCCCATGGGGCATGTAGGAGGGCAGTTTTGGGAGGTGAGGCCAAAGGAGGGCTTTGATTATTGAGGGGAAGCCAGCGGTCTTAAAAATCTTTGTAATGTGTTTCTGGTTATGCTTTTTTTTTTTAGATTTTATTTATTTGACAGAGAGAGCACAAGTAGGCGAAGAAGCAGGCAGAGGGAGAAGGAGAAGCAGGTTCCCTGCTGAGCAGAGAGCCCAACGCGGGGCTCGATTCCAGGACCCTCAGATCATGACCTGAGCCAAAGGCAGATGCTTAACCGACTGAGCCACCCAGGCACCCCTCTGGTTAAGCTTTAAAGAAGGAATGTGGTGGGCCACCTGGGTGGCTCAGTCCGTGAAGCATCTGCCTTCGGCTCAGGCCATGATCACAGGGTCCTGGGATCGAGCCCCGCATCGGGCTTCTGTTCAGTGGAGACCCTGCTTCTCCCGCTCCCTCTGCCCCTCTCCCCCAATCCCTGCTCATGTGCTCTCTCACTCTCAATAATAAAATCTTTTACAAAAATGCTATTGCTTATGTCTTAGGATTGTTGTAAAGATTAAATGTGTTAATATACTTAAATTACAACAGGACAGGGGCGCCTGGACGGCTCAGTTGTTAAGCATCTGCCTTCAGCTCAGGTCATGATCCCGGGGTCCTGGGATCGAGCCCTGCGTCAGGCTCCCTGCTCCGCGAGAGGCCTGCTTCTCCCTCTCCCACTCCCCCTGCTTGTGTTCCTGCTCTCGCTGTGTCTCTCTCTGTCAAATAAATAAATAAAATCTTAAAAAAAAAATAAAATTTTTTCTAAACATTTTATAACAAGCACCCTTTCTATTGTCATAAAAAATAACCCCCTTTGGGGGCGCCTGGGTGGCCCAGTTGGTTGAGCATTTGCTTTCGGTTCAGGTCATGATCCCAGGGTCCTGGGATCGAGCCCCACATTGGGCTCCCTGCTCAGCGGGAGGCCTGCTTCTTCCTCTCCCACTCCCCCTGTTTGTGTTCCCTCTCTCGCTGTCTCTCTCTCTGTCAAATAAATAAATCTTAAAAAAAAAAAAAAATTTATCCCCACATTTTTCTAAAAACGTGTCTGTGGATTCCTTTTTTCTCTGTAGTACCTTATATATAGAACTGTGCGTGCTGCTTCTTCAGATCTTGTCTTGAAATTTCTGTGGGCAAAGGGTGGTCAGTCACCATAAAAAACATCCTAGTTGCTCTTTTACTGTCTGTGCTTCTGTGGGTGTCTTAGGTTTTGGTTTTGGACTCACCTCTTTGTGTTGGTTGAGCACCACCTGTTGACTGTCGAGATATTACAGAAATCTGGGACAGGGAAGTGATACCAGTTGCATATTCTGAACTCCTACATATTTGTACTGAGGTTTGACCAAATTTGACACAAACATCAAGGAACAGTGAACCATTTCAGCAAGCGAGGAGGAAGGAGAGGAGAACCCCAAACTGCCCCCCTGTCCAATTTGGTTTCTAGCCCACAGGGTTTGAGCTCTCTTTGCATCTTCCCACCTCTTCATTGTGAGTAATTGAAGCTGCCCGCACGATCTAACGTTTGAGAAGATGCTCACGTCAGCCACTTTTTCTTAAAGCGGGGCTGAGGTTCGGTCTGTAGGTAAGCGCAGTGGTTAGTTCTTAACAGAACATTGCAGGACATCAGAGGTTGTTTTCTTCCCTGGAGTCCTCATTCACATGGCAGCCCTTCTGCTTCTGTCCTCCACAGCCATCTGTGGAGGCGGCAGACACCCCGGCAGGATTCCTCAAAGAAGGGTGGCCTTTGGGGGCGCCTGGGTGGCTCAGTCGGTTGAGCGACTGCCTTCGGCTCAGGTCATGATCCCAGGGTTCTGGGATCGAGCCCCGCATCGGGCTCCCTGCTCCGCGGGAAGCCTGCTTCTCCCTCTCCCACTCCCCCTGTTTGTGTTCCCTCTCTGGCTGTGTCTCTCTCTGTCAAATAAATAAATAAAATCTTAAAAAAAAAAAAAAAGAAGGGTGGCCTTTGAATCCTGGCTTCAGCATGAGGAAACTGTCAATTCAGAAAAAGTGTCTTTTTTCCCTTTAAGGAAATAGAAAAACAGGGACAGTTTTCTGTTTTGTTTTGTTTTGTTTCCTGGAACCACCTGCCCAGCTAGAGACCAAGTTGCTGGAAGGTCTTACAGAGGAGGGGAAAGAGGGTTGGTTTTGCCAGGTTGTGGGACCTAATCTACTCTGCCGTGCGCCCTGCTCTGCGGCCTGGCGTAAAGCGGCCGCACGCCTCTCCCCGGCCTCATGCAGGGGCTCTTGACCAGGCGTGTGGTTGCTCACCTCAGGGCCCCCACAGGCAGGCAGAAGAGCAGCAGGGGCCCCTCCCTGGCTCAGGGTTGAGCCCATTTCCTCATCCTCCAGGCGGTAGCTGAGATGGCACCTCCTCCAGAAAGCCTCCCCTGACTACTGCGACTGGGTTGGTTACGCACCTCTGCACTCCCACAGCCCTGGGCTCTTCTTTGTGACCCTCAGCGCCTGGTGTGCTCCACAGGGGCGGGGCCTCGTGTGCCCCATCTGTTCTTTCCTCCCTTGTAGCGCCCGTCCCTTGTCGAATGTGTGAATGAGACCCAGTCCCTGCCTTCAAAGCACTTAGACAGGGCTGCCCTCTGCCACGGTCTTTGTTCACTGGTGTATCGAGGGTGGGACCGTGGGTGGGACCGTGGGTGTCAGCTTTTTCCTCCCCTGGAGGAGGAAGGGCCACATGACAGTGGTGGCAAACACAAAAGAAAGGACTTTGCAAGTCAGGAGGTGTTAAAATTCAGGCCTTTCAGTAATAACTTAAGTCCAGATAATTGAGATGGTTATGAATACCTTAAATTTATATTTTGCTGTAGGGTTTACCAGTTATATGTGTCTAAGTGTATATGTGTATGTACATACATACACACTGTCTCTCATTTAGTCCTTATTAAAACACTCAGGAGGAGATGGTATTATCCTGAGTTTACCCAGGAAACTGGATGTCAGACAAGCTACCTGACTGCAAAAGCCGGGGCTCGAGGCCTAGCCGTTGGCTGCTGAGCCTGAGTGAAAGCGGACTGCTTGGAGGTAGGTTAGGAGTACCTTTGGACTGGGCAGAGACGGCAAGGAAGGTGACGGACAGGTTGGAAACGTCCAGCCCTTTGAGCTGAGACTGCTGCTGTCTGTCTGTCCCTCAGATTCTACGAGGGCGTGCTGTGACATTTTCTCTCTGGGGGTCACAGCCTTCTGGCCTATGTGATCCAAAGCCTGGCTCGCTGGGATAGGTGTGAGAGGCACGAGGTCTTGCCAGGTGCCCAGCCAGGGGCTTTGCTTTTTAAGCCAGGTTCTCGGGTTCAGGTAGGGTTTACTGCTTGGGTGCTAGTCTTTGGAGAACAGTTGCTCTTCCTCACGAGGTCTCTGAGTGGCTTTGCGGGAGAGGCAGGGCTGTGGCTCACAACCAGGTAGAACCACCAGAGCCCCCTAGAGTGTGGACTACAGATCATGCCTTGTCCATCTCCAGCCTTCTGAAAAAGGGAACCCTGTGTCAGCCGCCCAGAGGTGGCTTCTGACACAGCACTTGGCAAACTGGACTCTGAGAAGGCCGTGCCACTGGGGAGAGCTCCTCGCCGGCTGGTAGCTGGGGTCCGAGGGCTCCTTAACTCATCCGGAGAATTATTCCCAGGCCCTGCTGTGTGCCGTGGTCTGTGCTAGGTGTTTAGGGTGATGACACCTAACGGGCCTTCCCCTTGGCAAGCCACAGGGTACTGCGTGCGGCTCTGGGTGCGGACGCTGCTCCGTGGAGGCTGGCTGAGTGCCACCTTTGGGTTTGAATGGTGCTCAGGGAGCCCTGAAGGAGTCATCAGCAGCCTGTGGGAGGCCAGTGCCAGCACGGAGGAGACGGTGTTGGAGCAGGGGGCAGAAGGAGGTCCATGAAGAGTGAGGACCATGTGTGCACAGGTCTGGCGGCAGGAGAGGGTCACGCGGGCTCGGAGGCCAGTGGGACGTTGGTGTGCCCGCGTTGTAAATGCCTCTTGGGGGCTGGTGGCAAAGAAGGTGGCCCAGGGTAAAGGAGCTTGGCTTTCGTTTATTTGCCAGCAGATTTCTTTCTTTCCTCCCTCCCTGCCCCCCACTTTGTTGGGTTGTAATTGACATCCAACATTGCATAAGTTGAAGTAAGGTATACAATGTGATGACCTGATATATTGAAAAACCAAAAGATTTTTAACTTTTAATTATGGAAAATTTAAAAGACAGGTGAACGTCGACAGACTAAGACAGTGAACCCGTGTGCCAACACCTACCAGTGCGTGGCCAGTCCTGTCCCCTCCGTGCGCTGACTCTGCCACCACCCCCACCGCCACCTCCCCCCTCCCTGCTGCCAGTCACTAGGAAGAAATCCCAAAGTGACTCGTGCCTTCTGTCAAGCCTAGCCTGTGGCTTGTGATGGATTAATCCAGAATTTTCAGGCCTGGAGTGAGTGGGTGACACTTTTCAATTTCATTTCATTTTCAGAGAAACCACTAAGTTTCCCTTCTTCGTCTTACCTTCCAGTGGGAAGTTGGTGTCTCCAAAGTGGAAGAATTTCAAGGGCCTGAAGCTCCAGTGGAGAGACAAGATCCGGCTCAATAATGCCATCTGGCGGGCGTGGTACATGCAGTGTGAGTGGTACACAGGCTTCCGGTAGGAGCGGCCTGCAGGGGCCCCGAGGCCTTGTGTTCTAGCACCTGGAGGCCTTTGCACCTTGGGGCCCAGAGCCCACCTTTCAAACATTACGCCTCAAAGGGAAGCCTCTCTTGGGCAGTCCAGCAATAGGAAAACCAAGCCAGATCCTAATGAACTGGGTACTTCTCAGGTGTCAGGCACAGGGGGCCAGTCACATGGTCTGTGTCGTGTAGTTGCCTATAATATGCAGGAGACAGATGTGTTCGCCCAGGGTTCACAGCATAATGTGCTCACTATTAGGTTAGACGCTTGGGCCCAGCGTTGTAAAGGCAGAGGAGGGAGGGCTTAGTTCTTTCCAGGGGAGTCAAGGAGGTTGTAGCGGAGAGGTGATATTTGAAGAGTCAGGGAACAGTTCCTATTTTCAGCAGGTCAAAGAAGATACAGACCCAGGCCTTGTTCATTCTCTAGCTGGCTTCATGCCGGTAGATCCGGTGACCTTTGCAGGAGATCAGCGTGCTTGGGGCATGCTTGGGTTAGGCTGGCATTTCTTTTGATAAGCCAGACTCCCTTTCTTACCCATGAGTTACTGACAGATTCTTTTCCTTTATTCTCTGAAATCTCATTTTCAAGGGAAGGAGAAGAACACTTGGGAGGGTCCCACCCTGAGGGGGATGTGGACAGAGGGGGCAGGGACTCTTTCAGGGGTCTTGGTCATAGTGATACGTCTCATCCTTTCTCTGCCCAGATTTGGAGAAGCGCAAGAATCCCGTGTGCCACTTTGTCACTCCACTAGATGGCTCTGTTGAAGTAGATGAGCATCGCAGGCCAGAGGTACTTGGCTCGTGACCATCAGTAGCTGGAAAGGATCTGCCCTCATCAGGAGGAAGCGACTCTCCCAAGGCCGGGAGCAGGGGTTGGATTCCGCAGCAGCGGGGGTGGGGTAGGGAGAAGGACCATGTGACCTCTCAAAGATGAGGTTGTGACAGCCCACAGAGGCTCCCCTCTTCTCAGGCTGGGCTGACCCGAGCACTGAGAGGTTCTCCCATTGGGACTTACTTTCCACTTTCCCTTAACATTGGCATTTTTCTGGAAGTCAGTAGGGAGGGATCTGGGCTCCTTACAAGGCAGATATCTTTAATGGTTAAAGAATGACCTCAAGATCTTTATATGATGAGATGGAAAGATGCTGAAGAAATAGTAACTGAGAAAAAAAAAGCAAGTTGCGCAACAGTCTTTCAGTAACTTTATGTTAATTTTTTTAAAAGTGTGTATCTGTGTGATTGTGTGTGTGTAGGAAGAGTCTAGAACGATATACAGAAATCCTTTACTGGTGGCTACCTCTGGGGAGGGGGATTAGAGTGAGGTGGATACCCTTATACCCTTCTGCATTGTTTTAATGTTATCCAAGCATGTCTCACTGTTGGGATAAAAGGGGGAACAAATAGAAAGTAGCCCAGTGAAAGACCCTTTTGAGTGGTGGGATGTGATCTGGTATTGGACAGTATTAAGGAATACCACTTTGTGGGTCTGGTGATAAGACTGTATTGTTCACTGTGAAGATTCTTTACTGTCAGATACACAATGCAGTATTTGTAGGTGAAATTATATGGGCCTTATGACATCTGGGACTGGCTTTTGTATCCTCCAGCCATAAACAAAAAGGAACCTGAAAGTGAGGCAGGCTCTCTGAGGAGGGCGTGACTTCTTCGTCACCAGAGTTCTTCAGGGATACGTGGAAGGGGCTCACCTGCGTGATGGAAAGGTTGAAGTAGCTACTCTTGGAAGTCACTTTCCACCTAAAACTTCTGTGATTGGCCATTTGTTTTCACCCTTTGAAAATGTGGCAGAGTCTTCTGGATAAGGGCATTTAGTGCTACCCCTGGCTCTCTGTAGGGCTTTTTCAGTGCCTGGGTGGAGGGCCCTCTCCCTCTTCCCTGCCCGAGCACTCTCTGACCCGTGTCCAATCCGGACCCTTGGGACTCATGCCACCAAAGTCACACTTGGTTATCTGAGGTCACGAAGTAAAAGCCCATCTCTAGGGTGGAGGCTAGTTGTAGCACAGAAGAGGTGGGACGCACTTTGTGAATGAAGCTGTATGCATGTGGGAGGGTCCTCTGAGCTGGATTGCCCGAGCTGACTGCCAGGGTCAGACGCATCTTTATTTTCAGGCCGAGTTCTGCCCGTCAAACTAGATTGCCCTCTTTTGATTCTGACCCGCATTCTCTTCACAGGCCATCACCACAGAAGGGAAGTACTGGAAGAGCCGCATTGAGATCGTGATCCGGGAGTATCACAAGTGGAGAACCTACTTCAAGAAAAGGGTATCTGGCTTGGGCTCCAAGAACAGCATGTTCGGGAAGCCCCACAGGGGAGGGAGGGTCTAAGTCTGTGTTCAGACACCGGCCCCCGAGGCTGTGGGTCCATCGCTGCCCCCGTGGAACCCAGTGTTCCAGCCCAGCCCAGGTGATGGGCCTGCTTTGGCCGTGTTTTTTGTGGTCTCAGTTTCTCCTGCTGCTAGTTATTCTACAAACACTGGTGGAGAATCTCTTCTGTGCCCAGCATGGGCCTGGGAATGGCAGAGAGCAGGATCCCTCCCACGCTTTCCAGGGAGAAGAGGCCTAGATGCTTCCAGGAGGAGCCTCATCCCCTGCCAGGACCCTGGGTGACACTTTGTCTCCCCTTTTTCTCCACAGCTACAGCAGCACAAGGATGAGGACCTTTCCAGCCTGGCCCAGGTGAGTGAGCTCGGGGGCTGGGAGGACCCTCACGGGAACCCTCCTTTGACAAGAAACAGCAATGACGTGGGTGGCCCGACAGTGAAGCCTGCCGCACCTGCCTTCCTGCAGCTCCAGGAGGGGCCACCCCCCCCCTCCTCACACAGAGGACATGCAGACTAAGGAAACAGGCCAGTTCTCCCTGCTCCACTTACTCCCCTCTTCTTTTACAACAGCCCTTGCAGCTCTGTACAGTAGGGTAACATACTCCCTGGCATGATGTGATTGGGAATTCTGAGTTCACTAGTGCCCCTCTGATTTTGCCTCCCCCCTCTGTTGGCGGTAGGATGATGACATGCTTTATTGGCACAAACGTGGGGATGGATGGAAGACCCCAGTCCCCATGGAGGAGGACCCACTGCTGGACACAGACATGCTCATGTCGGAATTCAGCGACACCCTCTTCTCAACACTTTCCTCACACCAGCCAGTGGCCTGGCCCAACCCCCGGGAAATAGGTAACCCACCTCTAGATCCTTGACTTTGAACACACAGGTTTCCTTCTCTGCCAGCGCCTCCCCAACCTGGCCCCCCAGGGCAGGACTGGCCAACCTCGCTGGCATCTGAGGGCCACATGCACTGAGTGGGTGGGGACTGCAAATGGACCTTCCTGGACAGCTGTCAGGCCCATGGTGCCCCTGAGAGAAGACTGGGGATTTGGTCTGAATCAATTTCACATTTCTGATACTGTCCCCAAGTGATGGGGCCTTTGGGAAGAAAATTAGAAGCATTCCTGGGCATGACCTTTTACCTGGCCGCATTCAGGCATCCAGTTAACACCTCAGGGAAGAGCCCACAGACTAACAGAACTGGGGATCTCAGCATCCTGGGAGTGTCTGTTTCCTGATACTTCACCTTTCTTTTCTTTTCTTTTTTTTTTT